TTAATGAGATCTCCGAGGATATATTATCTGCTTACTGAAGGGAACCATTGAACTGGTCGAACAAATCCAATGCAAAGTATCTGCCCTTCTTCACAGGCAGTTTTGCATATTATTTCGCAAGTTACTCGATAGTGATGTTGAGTGCATGCAAGATCAGAGTTGCTTTATTTGCAGTGACTTTTTCTGCCGGGAAAGTACTTAATAATACATTTGCATTTGATGCAGCGCCTTATCACGTCTTCAAGACGTCTCAAAGTGCTTCAAAGAATATACTGAATAAAGTGAATTGACTGTATATTTTGTGGGCAAAAAGTGGTCACCAATCATGCAGAGCAGTGTCTCACAAGCAGTCGTGGATTGAGTGACCACATTATTATTATTTTTTTTTTGAAGGAATTATTACCCCCGGAAAAGCAAAGCCAAACAATATTCCTTCTTTCCCACTGCAGGAAGTTTTATTTTCGCTTCAAATGAAAGATCAGAACAAACACTCATGATTTTAGTTTTAAAAAATGTCTTGATTTTAGTGTAAAAGATTGCTTGAAAGACTTCCCTGTCTTTTCTGTGACCGCCAGCTCACAGAATCTTAGTTTGGCATCAACGCAGAAGATGCTTAATGCAAGATTGTGTCTGCTGTCCTGCAGAGCCACATACAGAGTTGCCACTAGCATTTAAACTGCAATAACAACTTTTTATTATTTATTTATGTCTCCATGCTACCTGCCCAAGAGGAAAGGATTGCGGACAAAATTGCTTATGTTTAAAGGATTTTATTTATACCTGTCCCAGGTGTTTTTTTTTTATCTTATAAAGTTTCGGCTGAATTTTTGCAGATCTGAAGATCCTGATGGAATATATTTTGTTTTCCCGATTTGTATTTTGTCTCCAAATTTCCATTCTCTCTCTCTCTCTCTCTCTCTCTCTCTCCCTCTCTCACACACACTCTCTTCCACCTCCCCACCACCCAACGCCAGTCCTCTGAAGATGCTGACTCGGGTTAGGGAATGGTTGCAAAGCTACTGGTCTCTGAATAGCATCTACCAGTTGGTGGACCTTAACATTTGTGTCAAAGTACAGACCTCTGTAATCCTATTCAACTGGGGTTCGCTGATAGCGATCAGGAGCACAAACTTGGAGAGCTCATTCCCCTCCTTTGCCCAAGAAATACTCTCAGGACAAGGTGCTCCATGACAGAGATAAGATGAATATTTTCATCTTCAGATGGGTTGTCACTGAATAATCGTCTGTCCATTATAATATGATGTGCTCGTATCATTGCTCTTATTCAACTTAATGATTTGTGTAGTTTTTCTTTAGATTGGAACTTAAATCTACTTGACAGAGTGGCATTCATGACCAAAAGTTCCCTTAGTTTCTTCTTGGTCATGTTGGAGTGCCTATTGTCTGCGGAGCACAACACGCTGGGATTTTATAATGTGAGATTGATGCCATGGGGATTTGTCTTCAAATTGCCTTTGGTGTCAAAGAAGGATCATCTCTTTCTCAAAGCATGACCTGTGGTTATTCAAGTCCTTCAGGAGATTAAATACAGGACACAATGACAGTATGAATTGTAAATGACCCATTGGAACAAACAGACTCAATAGGCTAAATGACCTTTCCTCATCCCCATGCTTTCTCAAATTCTTTTGTTTTGCTGGAACTCAGAAAAGGCCATATTACACCTGCAACGAGTCTGCATGGGACCACCTATATATAATTGAGTATGATCGCTTACGTTGGCCAGTTTATTTATTTGAAATATGTGCTTTATATTCACTGATCAAATAGTTCGGCCGAGTACTGTGGTGTGAGCGAAATATTATGAATGATAATAATCCTTGAATTTGATATAGCACCTTATCGCGTTGTCAATGTCTCAAAGTGCTTCACAGGATTTTACAGTATTAGTGGTAGTGACTGTATTTGTAGGCAAACGTGGCAGCCAATTTTGTGCATAGCCAATGTCCCACAAAGCGCCATGAAGTGAATGACCAATTTTTATCTGGGAGATTGGTGGCCAGGACAACGTCTGATTGTAGCAAAGGGCCGTCCTGGGGCTTAGAGCTCACAGTTAGTTCTTTGATGAAGTTTCTTAATATTTTCCCTTCCTCTCCGTCAACCAATCTGCCACTGTGAAACTCTCCAATGCTTTCTTCAAAAAAATAATAATTTGGTCACTCAATCCACGACTGTCTGTGGGACGCTGCCGTGCGCAATTGGCTGCCACGTTTCGCCGACAAAGTATACAGTTAATTAACTTTTACAGTATATTCTGTGAAGCGCTTTGAGACGTCTCGAAGACGTGATAAGGCGCTATATCAATTGCAAGGATTATTATTATTATTATCGTCTACTGGTCTGTATAAGGACCTATGAAATGTCAGGACTTGGGGTGCAGGTGTTGTATTGGTGGATTCAGGCAATGTTGGAGGTGCCATCTTTTGGATAAAATGCTAAACTATGCCTTCTGCCTGTTGGCAGGACATTATTCGGAAAGAGAAGGGAATTTTGCTCTTTGGCCAACAATCCACCAGATAAGTTGGGCAGTCACCCCATGGCTGTTTGTGGGACCTTTGCTGGTTTAAATTATTATTAAAGAACAGCTGACTGTTATTGTGAAGAATTTTGAGACGTTTCAACATAATCGGGCTTCGTATAATTGCAAGGTCTTTCATGGTACAGCGTAACTAACAATTGATTCTTACATTTTTTTATTTTGACCAACGGGGGGAAAAAAAAAGATCTTTGTTAAAAAAACATAAATCGCCAACCTCGGTAAAGGTTGTTGTAAAATGCTTATCCGACATTGATTATGTGTAGCCCTTTGTCTTATCATCCATTACTGACTTTTGCATGTCTATTTGTACTCATTGTCCATATTAAGCATTTTAAACAGCTCCAATCAAATTGCAGCAGTCAGTTCTAACGCACTTGGAAAAGGGGAATGAGATTTGCAAATGATAAATGGGGAAGTTGACTAGCTAACTAATAAACATTTATCTTAATCAAGTATGATTTGTCAGAACAGGAGCGCACTGGGGTCAGGGCAGAAGCAATGAATAATACAGCATTCACAGGAGAAAAGGGCCACTGAAATGCGTAATAAATATGCTGTGATTACCCAGTGCTAATTCATATTCCGAGGATGAATTATGCCAGGCCAGTCACAAGGATGTTGAGCCCTACCGCCTTGATGGTGCTGTTTTAGCATGAGAAAAAGTTCATTTCTTTTTTTTAAAAAAAAGCAAAAAGCTTTACTATTTTGCTTTTAAGTGCATTTCTTCAAACCTACCGTCAGTTACCTTGAATGGTGTTTCGAAGGTATTGCTGGAGTGTCAGGTGCTGTTGCCGTCCTTTCTATTTGCGGCTGTTCTTGTGTAAAAAAAAAAGGCCAAAGTTCGTCAGTTGCGCTGCATACTGAATAAAAAAAAATCTTGCAAAATTGATGATGGCCCCAATTATTTATCTGTGCAGACAGTTGGGAGTGAAGCGATGCCATTGTGCCCCCAACCAGGATGAAATTAACGTATGATGTTTTGATCCCTCCGTGTCAAGACAACAATTCATTTTGTGATATTCCAGTGGACATGCTTCTGTTTCCTTGTTTATTGACTTCACTAGTCATTGACTATGAGGGAAAAAACACAATTCATCAAAGTGACAATGTTTTACCCTCAATTACTGTCTGTGGCATTGTCACATTTGCTGGTAGAAATAGATTGAATCATTAGAACCAAGGTGAAGATGTCAGCTTGGCAGCCAAACGAAACACGAAACGAAACGAAAAATCTAATTAACCAACCTGCTTTGAATCAGCAGTATTTAATGGCATCTGTTTTGGTCTACTAGATCATTGTGAAACATTTTGCTCGGTGTGTGTGTTTTTTTTTAGGAAAAAAAAACTCCTTACCACATTAAACCTTTGGGAGGCATTACGCTACATGAAATCCCACGAGGCAAAGGCAGTACCGTAGGTATAGCTTGCTAAATGGGAGCATCAATTTCTAGTCAAATATCTGAAAAAAATATTTATCCTGCAGTGTCGTTCAGGAATGTTTTCCAACATTTAACGCTTTTGCAATCTGCACTACATATTTCTATGTAAATGTTAAAGATTGTGCATCATTTTGAATTCGCTAACTTTAGCAACTCCTGTGTGAAAATAAAAGTTTTTCTAATGACAATCTTGCTACGTGCAGGATAGCGAACTAGTAAATTTGGTTTCTTTTCCCCTCCCTACACTCCCACCAATACATCAGATTTACTAATGCCCTTCAGAGATATCTGATTCAAAATCAAAATATATGCCATGTTTTTAAACGTATTCTCAAGTCTGAGAAGTCATTTGATCGTGCAATATTTGTTTTGAAACATGGAAGCTTTCAAAATGGTCTTAAAAATTATGGTGGTGATTCTCTGGGCAATTTAGACAAGAGTGTAAGAGTTAGAAAATGTGTGGACATAGTACTTTATCTTTCTGTATTTCTTTCCTTTCTCCGCAAGTTTCTTTTGCAGTAAATAAAGTCTTAATATAATTTTTTTTATGCACATAGGTTCAATTTCACTGTCACATATAAAAGCATTATTAAATACGTAGTCTTATCGGTTACCCAAAGTTGTACTTTTCTTAATGTTAAAGTAACCCATTCCTATTGTTTGTTCAGGATGTCTGCTGCATTCTTATCAATTTATTGAAGGCTTCGTTGGAAGCTGAGTAACAATAATATAATCCTTGCATTTGTCACAGCGCCTTATCACGTCTTCGAGACGTCTCAAAGCGCTTCACAGAATATACTGCAAAGTGAATTTTGTGGGTGAAACGTTTTCTTTGTTTTTTGACTTCATATTATATATAGTGACTTCATATTTGGGGTTGTATGGAAGTTCCCACCTCAGTTGCACGTGTTCCTTTAGATTGTTTGTTTCCAACAAGTTTTAAAATAGAGCGTATGATATAGCACCTTGCGACTGACTTCTGATATTTTTCTGGGTTTCAGAACAAATTGGTCAGGAGATTCTGGAGAACCTGCATCATGATAAAGAAAAGATTCAAAGGTCTCGGGATCGGGTAAGTTAAAGAAAGCTTAATAATCATAATGCTTGCATTTGATACAGCCTCTTATCACGTCTTCGAGACGTCTCAAAACGCTTCACAGAATATCCTGTAAAGTGAATTGACTGTATATTTTGTGGGCCAAACACAGCGGCCAATTGCGCACAGCAGTGTCCCACAAACTGTCGTGACCAAATTATTATTATAATAATAAGGCAACTTGCTAGAGACGGCATTGTGTGGCATTGTTAAGTGCTCTGGGACGCTATAGAAATGCAAGTTGTTGTTGTTATTTTTAAATCCGATTTAAATACAGTATTACATTTATTCTGGAATTACATTTTTTTAACAAACCCAGATTTTTTTTTTTACATTTCTGAATCTCAATGAAGCAAAATTCCTGATATTAATTGCTGACTAAAAAGAGCTCACTTTTAACCAATTCAAAAACTCAAACTTATAATAATAATCATCACTATTTCATTCGGAATAGCGCCTTTCACGTCGGCAGGACAGCCCAAAGCATTTCACAGGGCACACTGTAAAGTGTAACGACTGTGTGCTTTGCAGTTAAAAGCAGCAGCCAAGTTGCACACAGTAGGAGCGACCCTAAGACTCCTGTCTGACAACAGCGGATACCAATGATGTTGATATTTTACTTTCTTATGTGGCACCAATGTTTGACTGCATGACGTGTGATTAATGTTCACAGTATCCTATTGCATGTTGCTTATGCATTTGTAAAGCTTGTTTTGTAAATGGTCTTTAAAAGCATGTCGGATTCATGCCAAACATTTACCAATAAGCGTTTCATGAAATGGTAAAGTCCTCAATGTTTCTGGCAGCTTAGCAGTAACATTAGAAGCTAGCTTTTGACCAGTCTATATATTTTTTTCTGCTTGCCAATTTTTTTCCTCTGCTGAATCCCTTGACACCCTGACCTATATTTGTTAGGTCAGGGTATCAAGGGATACGGAGCAAGGGCGGGTAATTGGAATCGAGGTACAGATCAGCCATGATCTTATAGAATGGCGGAGCAGGCTCGAGGGGCTGAATGGCCTCCTCCTGTTTCTATGTTTCTGAGGTCTGGTCTCATTTTTCCTTTCACTGGAGCACAAATCCATAGATGCCAGTCTCACTTTGTATCTCACTCGAGTAGCTATTATTCATATTTGAGCCTTTAACAGCGAGTTTCGACAATGTACAGTATATAATTACAGGAAGAATTGTACTTGAGCTGGATTCTGGGTACTGCACACACATGCAAACACCCCTCCAAGACCATACACTTACATCTTCAGCAAGCTCCAGATAGCGATAAGGAAAGGTATCTTTGGGCTGATTTTTTCCCTTGCTTAACCCAGAGACACCGAAGCTAATTGTGGTGCTGAATCTGAGATCAGCGAACTGCACAGACCCGCAGATCGAACCTGGGACATACCCCGTCTGCAAACTCACTGAATACATGTGCTGAACTGTCCTTGTTGGCCTTATTAAATCTATCGACTTCCGCCACATTTTCACAGCTATTGATAGAAAAATTATTATAATTTTCTTGGACAGATATTTGCTGGGCAAATCTAGGCAGACTTGAAGGAAATCTGGTTGGGCCAGAATGTATTTCAGGTGTGCTAGTGCATGGCTGAGATGCAATTTGGCTGATTCCTTTAAGTTTGTGGATGTTGCTAGTTATGTGGTTCCAAGTGAATGAATGCTGCAGGTATACAGCAGAGTGTGACACCAGTACCTGTATCAGAGTGACGTTATACAGGCCTGCTCTGTACTGCTCTGTTCTCTGGGAAAGCAGAGTTCTATGTACGTGCTTAAATGCATGAACAGAGCTCCACTCGCTGGTATCCAAATCCCGGTGACATTTATAATAATAATAATAATAATAATCCTTGCATTTGACACAGCGCCTTATAATAATAATAATCCTTGCATTTGATATAGCGCTTTTCACGTCAGGAGGACGTCCCAAAGCGCTTCACAGAACACACTGTAAAGTGAATTGACTGTATATTTGTGGGCGAACGCGGCAGCCAATTGCGCACAGCAGTGTTCCACAAACGTGGATTGAAATGAACATGTTGTTTTTTCATGTAATTTTTTTTGAAGGGAAAATTACCCCCGGAAAAGCGACCCACCAATTGTCCAACAACCAGGTTCCTATTTACTGCTAGGTAAACAGAGGCGTGCGGAGTAGGGAAACTTGCCCAACATTTCTCTGTGCCCGGGAATCAAACCCAGGTCCTCTCACTTGCGAGGCGAGGGCTCTGACAGCTGAGCCACAGGACTCTACTTGTTGATATTGCTAGTTCCAGTTGAAACCGATGAAACACATGGCCTCCTATTCGTATTTCACTTTTGAACATGAAGCATTACTTCCTTAAATAGGGATTTTGGTGCAACCTGAAGTTTTCTTTATGCTTTTTGTTCCTTTCAGCTGCGTGAAACCGACACAAACCTTGGCAAGAGCTCCAGGATCCTATCTGGAATGTTGCGAAGGTAAGGTCAAGGTAGGAATCTGTTGTGCTTCTATAAATATTGTCTCTCTGTCCCCTTCAACAAAGCATACACGAGTACCGATGGAAGTGGTCTTGTCTCTGTGATAACCCTTAGCGATATTTATTTCACTGATCATAACAGCATTTTCATTGCTTCTCGCATCCCAGAGCTCCTGAGCCTCTTCCACAAAACTAAATGTAACTTGTACTCGTAAAGATGAAATGAATGCTTTATTTTATTGGCTTGCTGCCAAATTTTTGGCAAGGGTGAATAATTTAGTCCGTGGCTTCAATATGAAGTGCGTGGTAACCTCCCGCATAGTGGGCGTAAAATCATTGAAGGTTACAATCACTGTTTTTTTCTTATAAAGCCTTTAGGTTCATTTCTAGCCTACAGTNAAAAAAAGCACTGCACTTGACAGTAATTACTGTAAAGCATGTTGAGCTGGTTTCAGCTTATAGGTCCTATAATAAGGCAAATGTTTCTTCTTCTTGACTGTCACTGACTTTGGACTGATTTTACGATATGTATTTCACTCTCCAGCTGCTCAAATATTTCACGTTAAAGTAAACCATAGCCTACTTGGGTTGCTGACAGCTTATACAATACAAATTTATATTTATATAAAGCATCTAATATTAGGAGGACATCCTAAGTCATGTAATACAATACAAAATTACATTTATACAACGCCTTTCACATCGGGAGGACGTCCCAAGGCGCTGGACAGTTGGGGATTTGGATAAGCCACTAAAGTCTTTTTGCTTTGCTGGAACATATGTTCTGGCGTTGGCGGCATAAAGGAATGTGTGCAATCCACCGGCATATACACGTATTTTACAAAGATTGTTGAGCTACACAAGGTATTGGTTTTTCTTACAGTTAAACTGTGCCTATGTTCAGTTCTCCCTCACTCGATGTGCACCCCTGCAATTGTTGAACACTCAATACGCCATTCCACGTGAATGGTGCTATATTAATGCAAGTCATCATTGGAGTTGAATTATGGAAGGTGACTAAACCAGATAAGAAAATTGCATTAAGAAACACTTATCAAATATTTCTGTCACCTCATCTCTACTTCCTGACAAATATTTTGTAACCTGCATGGGATGATGTTGCGCACAGGTTTTCTAACTTAAAAACGCTCACCATTCTTTACAGCAGGACTGCTGAGCCTTTCTTGGAGGCTTGCGTGCAGTATGAATGCAGTTAAATGGCACATTCTGAAGTGGTATATTCTGGTGTCTGCCTCCAGTGCTTCAAAATCACTAACTGGTCAAGAGAGATCCAGCAAACAGTGATTAAAACACTTGCTCAACACCTTTGAATCCTGTTTTCTCCCAATAGACCTACACTGTAGCTTCTTCCCTTCCCAAAACGTCTGTTGAATTTCATCAGTTATTAGCTGGGCTTTGGAGTGGAATGTCCCAGTGGCGTTGGGGGTGGGTGGGGGGAGGGGGTGCGAAGGGGTCGGGGGTGGCAATGAAGGCATTGAAAAAGGAAATTTAGTCACACGTGTTTTGGCCTGAATGCTCTGTTGGGAATTTGCCCTTTGTTTCAGGATAATTTGAGCAGTGTGGTCGGTCGCATTCTTATCCTGTTGAGCTAAACAATTTCCAGTTCAGGAATTCAAACCATACATTCCAAGAGACCGTCTCGAGTATTAATTCACACTGAACGCATGTGGCAAACTTGTCGATAGGCACTTTGAATGGGAATTGGAATCCAATTCTAAGTGGAAATTGACAAATTTGCTGCAATTAGGAGATGGAGCAAAGTGGCCCCTGTTGTCTGGTGTTGCAATTCAGAAGCACACATAGAACCATGTTAGGATATTTTACGTCGTTGATTCAGGTTGTCCATTCCATTCGGCAGTGGAACCTGTCCAGGGGTCAACAGCCATATCTAGGTGATGATGGACAGAAGTGACAGGAAATAGTCAAAGGCAAGGGATTAGAAAGGAATTTTCTTTTTTTAAAAAAACGCGTTTAAGCAGTGAACAGGTTGTTGACTCGTATTGTGAGATGGAGTACGGGTTTAATACTGAGAAGGTTAAATCTTTGTCAGCTTTCAATTTCCTTTGAATATTCCTACAACAGCCATCCAAGCATTGCTGACTTTTACTGCATGTCATGGCTTCATTTCACAGAAACCTGGCAATTCTGCCCGTGAACCGTAACTTGGGGGTAAAAAAAACAAAAAATCTGATTAAGAGTAATATGTAAATGCCCTTCCAAATGACATTAGCTAAATTCAAAATTCAGAGGAAAAGGAAGTAGGAATTGAAATAGATGCTTCAATGCCTGCAGACAATCAAAAACAAATGCTGCCAAAGGCCAGCAATGACTGCCTGTGGAACAAATATTCTGCATATGTCTCCATTTTGTCAAAACTCATTAAATGGTCTGCCTGTGTTATGTCAGTTGGGGTGTCAAGAAATCATTCATCATTTTTCGTGCAAAAATAACATGAAGTTATTTAAATAATATCATATTAATATTAAAGTTCAGCTTGAACTCAGCTGTCACTTAATGGCACAGCTTAATCAGACATAGCATTTAGAAAAATGCGTGTGCAAGGCTACATTTGCTTTTGGGTTAGCCAGATCAAATCAGGATTTATGATACTCCACTGCAACATATTTATACCACATTTATGCTTGACATGTCTCAGATTCGCTTCTGAAAGTATTTATAGTAATTTTCAATAAAAACGAACCATCCATGAGTAGTTTGTTTGTACAGATTTGTAGTAATTTAGTTAGACAAGGCCCAAGGAGAAAAAAAAACACCATAACCTTTAAAAATTGTCAGTTAATTGAACCGCTCGCTCTCTGAAACATGGGCTTACCTCAGTAGAGCGTATAGCACGCATGTTTGGCTTGGCCTCTGTGAAAGGTATTTATCTTATGAATCAATAAAATAAAACAATGGGAAATTCATTTGTACCTCGATTACAAATTCCTGTTCCCTTTAGGGCGTTGTTAAGGAGGAAGGTGGGGTGGGGGGAGGGGGGGCGGGGGTCAATTCTGTAGCACAAATACCACAACATGTGTTAATCATTAGATCCTAGTGACAATTGCTTCCATAAACATTTTTTGTTTCAATCCGTTTTAACCCTTATGTAAAGTGAAACCCACCCCAAAGGTGCCTTTTATTCTTTTAAAAAAGAAGGTTATTTGGAAATAAAGTACATTTTTTGTTTGTTCTTCAGCTTCTGGCGCAGTCGTATGTATGCTCTTTGGTGGCACTGTATTTGATGATCATTAAGCTTCCTCTTCGTGCCTCTGCATTTTACAGCCAACGTCACGGCTTTAAAGTGGATCGATTTCTGCTCGGAAGGGTCAGTAACATTTAGTGTTAGGCCAGGGACTGAGTAAAACCTCCTGGAATCGAAGTGGTTAAAGTGCTGACCGCGAATAGGAAGCGTTCAGCTTTTCCACATTACTTTGGAACATTGAACACAGTCTCCCATTGTATTATATTGAGAAGCTTCAGCTAAAAACGCGTGCGAGATCAGAGAGTATCCTCTGTGCAAAATGTGCAGATGGGTTTTGTGCCACAAGCCTGCTCAGTGACGGGACATGGCCTAAGCAGGTGCTTGACCCTGAGACAACGACGCAAAACCCGCTTGAATCTTGGGATCTGTTCACGGCTGATCGCTTTCCTGTGGTTAATAATCTCTGCAAAAAAAAATCGGTCACTGCTGGGCCCAATTAGTCACGTGGCCTTAAAATGTCCGCGCAGATGCCTGGGCTGAGCTTGACAGTGGGGTAGACCTCATCCACGCCCAGGGCACAGAGTTTGTGACCTGTGCGGTCAAAACTGTCCTGCTCCCCCCAGATTTAGTCACTCAATCCACCACGGTTTGTGGGACTCTGCTGTGCGCAATTGGCTGCCGCGTTTCGCCCATAAAATATACGGTCAGTTCACTTTACAATAATCTGTGAAGCGCTTTGAGACGTCTCGAAGACATAATAAGTCGCTATATCTGTCCAAGGATGATGATTATTATTATTATTATTATCATCATTATTATTAGTATGCAAAATTGTAAGTATTGCAGATTTTATTTAGTGGTAGGCTGAGTAGCTGGTCAGAATTATTGTACTGGTGGTAAGTGAAAGTGCCATTAAAATTGGAAGACTTATCATTTTTTCCAAACTAGATTTCTGCCTCCTGGCTGCCAGCCAGGACTGCGTTGCATTTTTCTTCTCTTTGAATACTGAAACTAACGAGTCGAAAAATATTTTTAAACTCCCTTAGTGTCGCCCATGTACAGTACTGCTCAGCAGACTGACTGACCAAGGCATTCTGTTATCGTAGCTGTGTCTTGTTCAAATGCTGAATATTCCCCAGGCAGCTACTTACGAACTCTCATTTTCTTCACTGCCTTGAGGGAAGATTTGTGGATTAAGCGGTGGCGTTTCTGACTGGTGGCAAATGATGTACTGCTTACTATGGGTAAATTCTTGGCCACTGTGTCAGGCTGAACAGATCCAGTACAGCTGGAATTAAGTGTACCCTGAGTTGTGAGATTCTCTACAGTTCGAATCCCAACATAAGTACAGCCCAGCTTCAGTGTGCGTTCAGTCAGAATGACGTGGGACTTTACATCCCACAGTAGACTATCTTGTTCCCCTGTGGCCAAGCTACAAGTATCTCAGGGATGTGTCGCACACACTATCAGCTCTGGCCACATTGTCCTGATCTGAACGAGAATTGAGAGAAACAAGAGCGAAAAGGGAATTATTTCAATTGCAAGCTGGATGATAAAGATCCCATTGGCCCTATTTGAATTTTGCACATATTAGCTGACGAGTTCACCTGCATAGTACACTGTGACTACACTTTACAGAATAAAACCATGAAACACATTGAGAACTTCCTCCCAATGTGGAAGGTACTATAACAAATGAGAGGATTGTTATTATCATTACCAATAATAATAAATATTGCCCCAAAAATTTCGCAGCTGCACTTACAACAAAATAAAAT